CTGTACCCCAGTTCTTGTATAAATAAATCTTTTTTAAAAAGGAATTAAAAAAAATAAATAAAGAGCAGGTTTATTAGGAAAAGGGACGGAAGAGTAAAAGACACTTGCATAGACACAAGCGGGCAGGAAGAACTACCCCAAAAAGGGACAGGTTTGCTAAGACAGACCTGCGTGGTTACAGGCAGTGACCTTGAGGAGACCTGCCTCTGCTGAGGGAAGTCAGTGAAGAGAAGACCCGGCTTAGTACAGGTCATGGGCATGCAGGAAGCTGCTGCCCTGCAGAGGGAGAGAGCTGGTGAAAAGAAGTACCTGCGTAGTCACTGGTGGGCAGATGGACTGCTGCCCTGAGCCAGTGCAAAGACTGCACTGATATAGTCTTCTTCTGTTTGGGAGGGGCTCACCCCTTGTGACCCTTCAGGTTAGTTTTGGGAACTGATTTTGGGTAACTATGCAGAATCTGAAAGGGCCTGGAGATTCCACAATGGGCTCAATCTCCATATCTTACCTTTGGGGTCTGTTGGGCTCAATCTCCATATCTTTACCCTTGGGCCTGTGCTCTAGACACTCCCTACAGCAGTCTGACACCTGCTTGGGTCTTAGGCCTTGTAATCTAGGTGTTGGTTGCCTGAGGATCTTGGTTTCCATAGCTGTGTCAATGGCTATGCTAATCCCTTCTACCCCCACCTCCTGTGTGGGCCAGTTTTCTGGTCTTCTGGCGCCTCCTTTTCAGTTTTTTCTATTCCTGTCCTCCACCAGTAACATCACTCTTAAGTTGTGGTTCCCTTTTTAGATTGTTGTGACTGAGAATTCTGTAGTTTGGTGTTATTTTGCTAAAAGGAAAATTGGTTTACAAAATAATCAACAATTTAATTGTGTGGCACTTAGGGTGTGCTGGACCCAGATGAGGTTGAATGCCGTGAGTGTGTCTGTTATAGGGCATCCCTGATATTGAACAGGTTGCCTGGCTGTGAGTCCTCTCCCACGTGCTTAAAAGGGACTTATTAATACTCTGCTACAGGCACACACAAAAGGTTAATAAAAGGTTTATTTATAAGGGAAAAGGAAATAAGGAAAATGTACAACTCGGGGAGAAAATAGGGAAATAAAGTCTTTAATGCGTCCTACCCGATCCGACGACCTGGAAACCCAAAAAGCACTCTCAGAGCTGGCCAGATGCTGCGAGCTGGCGGAGAGCCAAAATGGGGGACCCCCCCCCCCAAGCCCACGTGTCTGGCTTTATACCAACCTGGCTGCTTAACCCCACCCTCAGGTCCCAGCCACCTTCCCTTTGGTGGTGATGGGATTTGGAGTTCCCAGTGTCTTTGGCTTTGACCTGGGGTGGGGGTGGAGTCCACAAAGCCTGTATGGAATTAGCTGTAGGACATCCTTTTCCCCCTAACATGTCCAGGCAGTAGACCTTGTCCATGCAGGAGTTTCCTGTGGTGGTATCATTACTAAGACTGAAGTCTAGCCACATTCCTCCCCCAAATCCTTGCCCAGTGGGCAGGTTTGGGAGGCTTGAATGTGTAGGATGCCCTGTAGCAGAGGGAGTGGATGGGACTGCCTTGGAAATTGGCTGATTAAGCTGATGATCCAGATCTAGAGTCAGTACGCCCCCAGGGCCTCTTCGGGAAGCTTGAGAGGATAGAGGGAGGAGATGGGACTGACAAGGGAACTGGCTCATTAAGCTGATCTTTCATCAGGACACACCCAAGATAGTCACTCATCCTAACTAATCAATGATGCCTACAGTATAAATAGAGCCTCGGGGCCTTCACTTTATGCAGTGGGCCTCCTGTCTCGCCAGCTGCTTCTCTTAGCAGTGTACTCCAATGAATCTACCATTTTGTTCTGCACTCTGTCTCTGGTGAATACTTTCACCACTGTGCCCCCAGCCTACACCAAGGTTTCCCCCCACAGCACTTCCCAGTAGAACTCAGTGTACGGGAGGGAGCTTCCTGCACCCCTTCCCCACTGATCCTTTAGCACCAAGCTGACTCAGTGTGGGTCTGGTCAGAGCGCAGCACTGGCTGTCTTATTAGCCAGATGATGGCAGAGCCTTGGCAGAGAAATGTAAGCCAGAACTGAGGCCAACACCAGTTGTATCGACCCCTGGTTCCTGACACAGGGCTCCTAAAACTCTTGTAAATAGTGTTGTAGAGCAACCCCGATACAAAACGGGGTGCCTGACTGTGGGTCCTCACCCGCGCGCTTAAAAGGACTTATCAATGCTCTACTGCAGGCACACGCGAAAGGTTAATAAAAGGTTTATTTACAAGGGAATGGGAAATGAGGAAATGTACAGCTCTGGGAGAAAAGTGGGAGACAAAGTTTTAAATGAGTCCTACCCAATCCGCCGATCAGGAATCCCAAATGGCGCTCTCAGAGTTGGCCGCCGCCAGCCAGGAGCCGTGAAGCCAGGAGGCGAGCGATCGCGAGCCAGCGAGAGCCCAAGGCCCACGCGTTTGGTTTTTATATCCAACCTGGCTGCCCAACTCCACCCTCAGGTCCCAGCCACCCTCCCTTTGGTGGTGATGGGATTTGTCTTTCCCAATGTCTTGATGGCTTTAGTCTGGAGTGGGGGTGGAGTCCACAAAGCCTGTATGGGATTAACTCAGGACATCATTTCCCCCTAACAACAGGATTAAAGTTCCTTCCCATTAAAGTTTTATGGTGTGTGTTATTGTGATGGATGGCAGACCTTATCTACAGCAGGCAGGTTCCGGGGTACTGAGGTGCCCCGCTTCCTGTCCTGTAACAAAATATTTCCCAGAGTGAACCCAAGAGCCCTGCACCCCAAACCCACTGACTCAAAAAACGACATCAGATGTGTTTACCAACCTGGATGTGATACAGTTAACAAGTTTGTCTTTTCCCCATTTCTTGCAATTCCCCCTCATCTAGCATTAACAGGATGAATAGCTTGTCTTTCCCATTTGTTGCAGCCTCCCCCTCCCCTTGAGAAGAAAACCAAGCTGGCGCCCACCAGTTTGGTTTCCGTGCAGACCCTTTCCCCTCCCCCTAAGGAAAACAAGCTGGCTATCACTGGTCTCTGTGCCTTGACACCTTCCCCTTCCCTTAAGATAGATGAGTTGACACCCATCGGCCTCTGTGAAGACCCCTTCCCTTCCCCCATCTCTACACTTTCCCCCTCCCCTTAATGAAAACCAGCTGGTACCCATCCATCTCCTTGTTGAGCTGGTGCCCACTTGTCTCCTTGCGGACCCCTTCCCTCTCCCCTTCGCAGACCCCTACCCATCTTCCCTTTGTATAAATACCCCTGCCCAAGGCCAGAGAGCTGGACGGTGGTCTTTCGGACATGAGTCTGCCGCCCTCCTCATTTGTCGACAAATAAAACTGCTTTCCTTTTCCCTCAAACTCAGTTTCCTTTTATTGGCTGAGGGAAACTGAGGCCGGCATTCGGTAACAGATGCTCCCTGATCCCCATACTACTGGGATTTTAATGAGACATCCTCACGTGGACATAATCAATTATTAACTCCATTTCTGGCCCCCCTCACCTCTCCAGAATAAGTGATACTGAACGCTGGCCTCAGTTTCCCTCAGCCAATAAAAGGAAACAGAGTTTGAGGAAAAGGAGAGTGGTTTAATTTGTTGACACATGACAAGGGCAGCAGACAGATGTCTGAAAGACCACTGTCCTGCTCTTAGGCAGACTGCAGGGATATTTGTACAAAGGAAAAAAAAAAGGGGAGATGGCAAGGGTCTGCAAAGGGGAGGGGAAAGGGGTTGGCAGGGAGACCGGTGGGCACTACTTGCTTTTTTCAACAACTGCTGCTTAACTCCCTCTTCCTTGGAATGCAAGAAGACAAACCTGTCAAACAAGGGGGAAATTGCAAGAAACATGGGAAAGACAAACTTGTTAATGCTGATCTGAGAGATCAGTCATTTGTAACTGCATCATAAGGGAATAAGAGGTAGTAGGGGGGAAAGCTGCAAGCCTCTTACCATGGCTTGTTTTGGACCAGTCTCCCTGCAGGGCCCCATTAAGAGTCACCTCATGACATCAAAAGACACTCCCATCACCTAGAAATTCCAAGGGATTTAGGAACTCTGCATCAGGAACTGAGATCAACGGCCAAAGATGCTCCTACCACTCTTCTTTAAAAAAAAAAAAAAAAAAAGATTTTTATTTATTTATGCATACAAGAGCTGGGGTACAGGCCAGAGGTGCAGGGAGTGAGAAGATTCATGAGAGACAGAGTGGGGAGCAGAACAGGCAGACTGACTGAACTTGTGCTGCAGAGGCTGCTGACAGCTTCACAGTGCTGTGCTTAAGGCCTTGTGCCACCAGAGAGGCCCCTCCTACTACTCTTATCATAAGAAATTTCAAGGGTTTTAGGGCTAAATGACAGAACAAAAGATGCTCCTAGTGTTACAGGGCAGGGAGAGGGGCAGCCCAGACTCCGCAAACCTGCATGCTCTAAATAGGTTCTGCCATCCGCTGCATCAACACAAAACATGAGACTTTAATGAAAAGGAACTTTAATACAATTAGTAAACAATACAGGAAAGGCAAAGAATAGTGTTTCTAAATCAAGCACCCAAAGTTACCTGTCCCCTCCCGGGTAAAAGTCCACTCAAATGGGATTAGCCCAGAGCAAGACCCCAAAGCCTGCCATAAGTCTAAAGCATCTTCCAGTGGGGACCCACAGAAAAAGATCAGAAACAACCAGACAAGTCTGGGAGGAAAAGAGCAAAATCAAAATCAAGACAAAAACCGCTATTGTCACCTCCCCATGGGTCTCTCACCCACATCTGTCAACCAGTCCATGACCAAAAGGCAAGTGTAGTTTCTTCATGTGTCTGTCTGCTCCGTGTGCCTCCTCCAGGTCTCCCTCTGGCTCTCCATCCTGCTTCCTTCCTTCCTCAATCTCTTCTGCAGCTTCTTTTCTCTGCTCAGCTCCACCCTCCCTTGGGTGGGGCAGGGACCTGGAACTTCCCCTTTTCTAGTCACCACCCTGTTAGTTTTGCCAGAGCTCCGGTTTCAGCGGCACGCGGTGAGTTTCTTACATGAATTTCTCCATGAAACAGAGATATTAGTTATATTGAAAGAGCAGGTTCATTAGAAAAGGGACAGACGAGTAAAAGACACTTGCGTAGACACAAGCGGGCAGGAGAAGCTGCCCTGAAAGGGACAGGTTTGCTAAGAGAGGCCTGCATGGTCGCAGGTGGGCTTGAGAGCTGCCTCTGCAGAGGGAGATCAGGGAAGAGAGACCCTGGCATGGTACGGATCACGGGCAGGCAGAAGGCTGCTGCCCTGCAAAGGGAGAGAGTTGGTGAAAAGAAGCACCTGCATAGTCACAGGTGGGCAGAAAGACTACTGGCCCGTTGTGGGAGCAGCTTTAGGCTTTATCATCTTCCTCCAGTAGGAGGGGTTCATCTTTGTGGGTGGATGGTTTGTTCCTTAATCTCCACATCTTCGCCCTATCGTCTGTGCTCCTGAAGCCCCATAGCAGTCTGTTAGTTTCTCTAGCTGGAGTAATGGCTATGTTAATCCCTTCTACCCCACCTCCTTGCATGAGTCTGGTGGTGCCTCCTTTCCAGTTCTTCTATTCTTATCCTCCATCACATCCACAACTTGAGCCCCTAATTTCATGGGCACAGAGGTCCTTGCCTTTGGAACCTCTCAATACCTCTTCACTGGGCTGTTTATTGTATCCTTTATGATTTAATAAACTGGTAAACATGCTCCCCTAAGTACTGCCAGCCATTCAAGCAAATAATTGTATCCAAGGGGAGGGGTGGTCATGGGAATCTCTAATTTGTAGCCAAGTTGGGCAGCAGTTGTGGGCAAACTGAGGACCTTTATCGGCGATTGGTATCTGAAGCTGGGACAGTCTCATGAGACTGAGTCTTTAAGTGTGGGGATGTGCTAACTGGTGAGTTTCAGAACAAAACTGAACTGTGGGACACCCAGGTGGGATGCCAGAATTAGTTGGTGGAGGCCACAGTCAACTGATCCACAGGGGAACTCCCACTTGGAGTCACTGCGAGCTGTGGGCGTTGGCCTGGTGCAAGGACAATCTGGTGTTGGTCTGAGATCTGCAGGGAAGTTGGGAGCTCACTTCACTCTCCTCCAACAGGGTTGTTGGACTTTGTATGGGACTGAGGAGCATAATGGGCGTAATTTGTACCGTCCACAATGCATTCTCTCTTATTCCTGTGCTTCACCCAGGTGTAATCCCGCACATCAGATTAGCTCAGTTCTTAGTAAGGTATATTTATGGAAAATTGTTCAAACCGATGTTTCTGAGAGGAGGTGATGTCATTCTTTCCTGTGTCTAAGATGAGATCTGTCCATGTAGTCACTAACCCACAAACTTGCATGTTCTAAAATGAGTCACTCTGCATTTACGTGCCCAGGAGAGCTGTAGTCAATGCCAACTCCTTGCACAGCTCAGATTGGGTCACAGTGCCTGGGGCACTTGGATAGAGGCCCTGACAATTCCACTTTCAGTGACAGGAATTTCATCTAACTATTGACATGGCCTGCCTCATTTACATCAAAGCATGACATTTTGTATAAAAATCACCCTTCATTTGTGGCAAATGGCTCCCAGAATGGTTTGCGAATCTTTCATACTAATTTTCACAGCTGCTAAGCGCCAGAAAAATGTTGAGCTCCTATCAAGTTTCCCTATCCCCACTCTTTCTTTTTTTTAAAAAATTTATTTATGCATACAAGAGCTGGGGTACAAGCAAGAGGTGCAGGGGGTGAGAGGATTCACCAGAGACAGAGTGGGGAACAGAACAGGCAGACTGATGAAATACACTGCTGAGGGGAGCAGCAGGGAGACAGGAGAGGTCTGCTGCGCCATGTGGGTAGCTCCTGGCCACCTGGGGATCAAACTCGTGCTGCAGAGGCTGCGGATTACTTCATAGTGTAGTGCTTAACCCCTCTCACCACCAGGGAGGCACTGTCCCCACCCTTTCTTTTTTTTTTTTCAAAGATTTTATTTATTTATTTATTTGCTTGTTTGTTTATTTATTTATACAAGAACTGGGGTACAGGCCAGATTCGCAGGAGGGTGAGAGGATTCACCAGAGACAGAGCGGGGAACAGAACAGGCTGACTGAAGAAATACACTGCTGAGGGGAGCAGCGGGCAACACCAGGGAGGCCCTCACCACCCTTTCTTGAGGAAGATTTAGGCTATACAAGTATGTCAGAGTCTGCATTTGGTGGCTTTAGTCTGATGGAAACAGAGTAGGTGTAGCAGACTCTTATGTCAGCAGAGGGCAGCGAAGAGCCAGGAGGTGTCAGGGTGGAGTTGGCGGAAGTGTTGGGAGGACTCTTTGCAGGGAGGATGAACCACAGCGCTGACGCAGAGGAAGTGGAGATTCCAATCATGTAGTTCACGAGGTCCTCACATGAAGACCGAGACTATGATTTTGTCTACTATATCCAAGGCCCTGCCTCTTTGTCATTAGAAACTGTATTAATTAATTAATTAAAATAATAATAAATGTTTACTGAGGTGAGGACTTACTCCTCTCTGTTATTTTAATGTAAATTGCCTCATTTAATATGTATAATCTTGACAGAACTACAGTTATCCCCATTCCCTAGATGAGGAAACTGAGGCATAGAACATTACAGTCAACCTGTCCAAAGCCAAACAGGAAGGAAGAGACAGAACTCGGACCCAGGCAAGGTGTTATGGCAGGACCATAACTGGTGCTTAACACTCACTGGGTAACTCTGCCAGCGAGAGAGGGGGCGGCAGGGATCCTTCTGTTAGGGGAAAGGATGTCCTGAGCAAACTCCATAGAGGTTTTGTGGACTCCACCCCCACTCCAGACCAAAGCCATCAAGAGCTGGGAACTATAACTCCCGTGATCACCAAAGGGAGGGTTGCTGGGACCTGAGGGTGGAGTTAAACAGCCATGTTCGCTTTAAAGCCAGCCACGTGTATGTGGGGGGGTCACTCTTGGCCTCACAGCTCTTGGCTTTTTGCCAGCTCTCAGCGGGCCATTGGGATTAGAGGTCAGTGGAATGGGTAGGATGCATTCACAAATTTATCTCCCTCTTTTTCCCGCTGAGTTATTCATTTCCACTTTTGTAAATAAACCTTTTATTAATCTTTTGTGTGTGCCTGCAGTTGAGCATTAATAAGTCCCTTTTAAGTGTGTGGGTGAGGACCCACAGTCAGGCAATCCGTTTTATATGGGGTTGCCCTGTAACGCTTCTGGGGAAGAGGAGAGTGGAGGACTGTGGGTCCATGCCTTGTCTTCTCTAAGAGTGGAATGAAGAGGTCAAAGAAAGCTGGGAGTTGTTTTCTTCGGAAATGAGCATGTGCCAACACGAGAAACAGGCAAGACACAGACAACTATATTCTGAGATACTGGAGTGGAAGACGAGCATGGAGGAAACTGGGACTGGTCTGCCTAATTGGGCTCCCCTTTCCATTCCTTCAGGATTGAGGGGGGGTTCCATCATTGCAGGCACAACACCTGGGGTGCCTAAGGCTCCCAGGTGGTTTCCTTCCCTCCACCCTCCCTTTCACATTTCAGAAGTTGTGGGACTGAACTATGATTGGCTCTCAGGGATAGATATCTGGATAAATCCCCAAACCCATGAAACAGACAAGAACCCCCCCCCCCCAGAATCAGCCCTCCTGCTGTTACCCCAGAGACCTGGTGATTCTTGACCTTTAGAATTACAAAATGCCTCACACCTACCCTATAGCTCTCCCCCACAGCAGCCCACGAGCAAGAGAAGGTGACTTTATTCTTGTTTTACACATTAAACGATGATCACAGAAGGGAGATGACCATGTGGTTTTGGGAGCCCCTCAGACATTACCCATGGGGGTCTTTGCTCTCTGCACTGTAATTACTGTCTTCTCCACATATTTCCCCCACACATCATGCTTTGCTCAAAGACAAATGTTTCTCAACTGTATTGTCAACACCTCATACAGAGGGTGGTAAGAGACATGTTAATGATAAATGGGGAGCAGCAGGGTGTGGATGTGTGAATAGAGTCCTCGACCATACTTGAAGTAGATCTTTAAGTGTTTGGAGTTAATATGTGGTAGTTTGATCATATGAGGCACATTCTTGGATTAAAAATAGGGGTGACCCCAAAGTCCTCTTCAGTAAAGTATGTGCTTCTTAATTAGGGGCTCTTCAGAAAGTGTATGTAAGTGAGAAGTGTATGTAAGTGGGAAGCACAAGAGATATGGGTTGGTGGTCACATCTCCCAACAAGAACTAACTTGTAGAAGTGGGGTATTTTCCAGAAAGTACACCATGTGGACACATAGTCAGATGACCAGAACAGAGCATGGCAGCAGAACAGCTGTGAGAGCATGACAGGAAACAGCGCCCACAGAGGGACGAGGGTTGTCTAGCTTGAAATGGCAAACTTGGGACTGATCATAAATGGGTATACATCTCTGCTCCGTGGATTCTGCAGCTGCCCTCTGTGATTTCTCAAAGCATGAAATTATTAGTTCTGTGCATTCCTAGGGACAAAAGTCTGTTTTTTAAATTTGGTGTAATGATACCATCATGGTTTAAAGAAATAACTGTTTCTCACCTTGGGAGGACAGAGATTTCCTCCCAGAAATAAGTGAGCATTCTAGTCTTTATAAATTTCCTCTCATCTCTCTATAGTTTCTGATTCTTCTCACATATTCTGCTGCCACTGTACCAGTCTCACAGAAGACAGAGTCCTAAGGCCCTGAGAAATCCCACCCCTTTTCTGCTCCCAGTTTTCCTTTCCAAATAGAAAGAAAGAAATGCAGAGTGTTTTCCATAATTAATTCACCTTCATTCAACATGTACTGAGGATCTAAGAACCATAAACTATTCTAGATGCTGAGAAGAGAGCAATGAATAAAATGGTCTCTCTTCTTATAGTCCTTAGATTTCAGTGTGGTATATTATTATTATTATAATTAATAATAATATAGGAGGAGCTAGAGAGTGAGACAAGGAAGCCCTCAATAATAAGTACTATTGAGTGGATCTTGGAAAGTAACAGCCATGTGGCTATCTAGGGAAAGAGCTGTCCCTCAAGGTGGGAGTGTTGTTTGGATTTTCAAAAACAAAGAGGTGATTATTGTGATAGATGAGGAACAGCTCAGGAGGAAGAGTCAGAAAGTTAGCCAAGGGTCATTCTAGAGGGTCTTAGAAGATTCTAGAAAGGAATTTGCATTTTGTCTTGTGGCAAGAGAGAAAAAACATGATCCAATATAAATGTTAAAAGTATAACTCTATTTTCCAGACCTCTTGTGTTCTGTGCATACTTTCCTTTTAAAAAAAAAATGTTTATTTATATATACAAGCACTGGGTACAGTCAGAAGTGTGGGAGGGTGAGAGAATTCACCCGAGGCAGAGCGGGGAACAGAACAGGCAGACTGACGAAATACACTGCTGAGGGGAGCAGCGGGTGCTACAGGAAAGTTCTGCTACACCATGTGGGACTCTTGCCGGGGGCCAGGGATCGAACCGGCACTGCAGAGGCCGTGGGCAGCTTCGCAGCCCAGCACTCAACTGCTGCGCCACCAGGGGAGGCCCCATGTGCATACTTTCCTTTTCAGTTCTTCATGTGTCTTGGTGGGGTCCCCCAGGAGTTTTTTCTGATCTCATTTCTCAAGAAAACAGCAGCCATATGTCTTCTTGCCTCATGGTAGTTTTTCTCCATATCTTCCCATAAAGCTAAAATGCTTCAAGTAATTATGAACTTACTGGGGAATAAAACCTAGAAAATCTTAGTAAAAGAATAGATGATATAAGAATCATAGGGAAATTTTAGAACTAAATCATGCAATAACAAATTTAAAACTCATTTGATGAGCATAATATCAAAATGGAGGTAATAAAGGAAAGAATTAGTGGGCTTGAAGGTAGAATAGAAAATGTCCAATCTGAATAACAGAGAAAAAATTGACTGAAGAAAACTAACAGAGATCTGTGATTCAATGACAAAAGATCTCACATTCATATCATTGATATTCCAGAAGGAAAGGAGAAAAAAAAAAGAATGTGGGACTTAAGAAAAATGTTTTTTAAAGTATTAAAATGTTCCTAAATTTGACAAAAGGCATAAGTCTATGGATTTCAGAATCTGGCTGAAGAATTTCTCTAAGCAGGAGAAATTCAAGGATATACATACTAAGACACATAAATCAAACAGCTTATGGTTGATTTTTAAGAAAAATTCTTAAAAAACAGCTAGGATTAAAAAAAAAAAATAGCTAGGATTGAGACCGTAATTACAGGGAGAAACTATTTGAATAGCTACCCTCTGGCTCTTCAGTTGTCTATGTTATGTTGGACAACTGAAGCAAAAGTTATTGTTCTCAGTATATATGGAGAATATATTTAAGATAAGCTATTAAGGAAAAAAGGTAAAAGAATCTAATATAGATAAGATTTTTACACTTCAGGTATACATAGATTGTAATGCATGGAGCTGCCATTAAAAAATCTACTCAGGGCCTCTCTGGTGGCCTAGGAGTTAAGTCTCAGTGCTGTCACCTCCATGGCCTGAGTTCGATCCCCGGCCAGGAAGCTAACCCTGGCACAGCAGACCTCTCCTGTCTCACCCATGGGTCACTTCAGCAGTGTATTTCAGTAGATCCACCTGTTCTGTTCTCCACTCTGTCTCTGGTGAATCCTCTCACTCCCCTGCACCTCTGGCTTTCACCCCAGTTCTTCTATGCACAAATAAATAAATAAATAAATAAATAAATAAATAAATAAATCTATCTTTAAAAAGAAATAAAAATAAAAAATATCAAAATGATACATGCAAGGTACACTGAAAAATATCAAAATGGAATTATAAAAAATTTATAATTAACCTAGAGGATGGCCAGGAAAGCAAAACAGAGGAACAAAGACCAAGAGGAAAAAAGAGAGAATACAAAAAAAAAAAAACACTGTGACGAGTGTTCAGATATGACACCGAAAGCACAATCCATGAAAGAAAACATTGATGAATTCTGTTAAAATTAAAAATTTTGCTATGCAAAAGACCCTATTAAGAAGATAAAAAGATAAGTTAAGACTAGGTACTTAAAGGGCCTCCCTGGTGGCACAGAGGGTTGAGCGCAGCGCTATGAAGCTGTCTGCAGCCTCTATAGCATGGGTTCTATTCCCGGCCAGCCAGGGTGATACCCACATGGTGCAGCAGACCTCTCCTGCCTCTCCTGCTGCTCCCCTCAGCAGTGTACTTCGGTCCTTCTGCCTGTTCTGCTCCCTGCTCTGTCTCTGGTGAATTCTCTCACCCTCCTGCACGCCTCTAACTGTAGCCCAGTTCTTGTATAAATAAATAAATCTTAAAAAAAAAAAAAAAAACCAACTGGGTACTTCGAGTCTCTTGTCCATATGTTTGTCTACCTTTTCTTAATGATAGCTAAGATTTCTCTATATATTGTGGATATAAGACTCTTATAGATGTATTGTAAATACCTTTTTCCTCTATGTGGCTTGCCTTTTAGCACTCATCATGGTTTCTTTTGATTAAGAACTTCTTAATTTTGTTATTATACATTCTAAGCCTTCATTTTCCATCAGTAAAATAGGAATTATGGGCCTCCCCGGTGGCGCAGCAGTTGAGCACTGGGCTGCGAAGCTGCCCGCAGCCTCTGCAGCGCTGGTTTGATCCCCCGCCACCGTGCGCGGGTCCCACATGGCGTGCAGACCTCTCCTGCCACCCGCTGCTCCCCTCAGCTGTGTACCTCGGTCTCTGCTCCCCGCTCTGGCTCTGGTGAATTCTCTCACCCTCCTGCGTTTCTGACTGTACTCAGTGCTTGTATAAATAAATAAATAAATCTTTAAAAAAATCAAATTAAAAAAATAGGAATTATGTTATTATCTCACAGGCTTGGTTATGAAGAATAAATAAAAGGAAACTTGTACTCCTAGCAATAATTCCTGGCACTTGGCAACATTTAATGAATATTATTACCCCAGGGTCATCCTTTTGTCCCCTATCTAATCATTTATTTCCCTCCATTTTCTCTGAATGTCTGAGAAGCATATGGTATCACAGAAAAGGCTGGTCATATGGCCCTGATCAATTCCTAGTTTCTCTAGAGTCTGTGATTCCTTGTCTGTAAAATGAACTTTCTCACCTCTCCTCTTTCCTTTACTGAAAACCTGCTATATTCCAGCTGGTTAGAGACAACTCATTTTCCTTTAGCTCATGACTCATCATTAGTTTAAATACCACCTCATCCTGACCACGCAGACCTTTTACTTTCCCTTCAAAACCTACCCCGCCCCCTCAGAAACTAGCAAAGCCTCCACTTCTTAAAGCACTCAGCAGTAGAGAGAAGTAGTCTCGTAACCACCAGAGAGCACGATGCTTGGATTCCCAGCATGCACCATCCTCGTCTGTCTCCTCGGCCAGCTCTGCCAGCTTGCAGGTGAGTACAACCAGACCCTCCTGGTCTCCTGAGATGTAATTCCAGTCCCTGGGTCCACTCAGGAGGCTGTACTCCCTCCCCTAACTTTGCTTTTTATATCCTGTGGTCTCTGAATCACTGAGGGCAGGAAGATACTGAATTTGGTGCGTTAACTGCTTCTGACGGACTTACAGTCAGAAGGCTGGAGAAGTGGCATTGTTCTAATCCAGATTCTTCCATGAACTGGATAAGGAATGTCATATTTCCCTGACCTAAGTACTTTCTTCCTTTGAGGGCAACTTTAAAAGCAAAGCAAAGTCATACCGGTATATATCTCTCACCTGAAAGTTCATTACACGTTTATATTTGTAGGAAGCACCTGTTTCTAAGCCTAGAAAAGAGTGTTGCTTAGAAAATCCCTCACTGATTGGAAATGAGGCCACTGAGGTAGGGGAGAAATGACAAGACTTTCCCAAACCCCAGGCACCTTTCTGAAACTCCTTCTGTGACCGAGAGAGATCTGTGGTTGTCGTTATTCTCAAGGGGACAGAAAAACAGAAGCACCACAGCTCTATTAATAGCTATATTATGGGCAAGATATTCAGACTCTGACATCTTGGTACATTATAGAAAATGAAGCCTAACTTGCAGAGATAATTGTGATGTTTTAAATGACACAACCAATACCAAGCAATGATAATAATGATCACCTCTTATTAAGTCGCTACCATGTGCAACATGTGTGGGATTTTTTTTTTTTTTTTTTGGCTCAATCTCACAAATCTATCAGACAGGTAATTACTATTCCTGTTACACAGATGAGGATACCTGAACTCAAGAAGGTCATGTCTGTTGCAAGATCATGTGGCTTGAACATATGAGATAGGAAGTAAAACAGAAACTGAGTCCCCAAAGCCAGTATTCTTTCTTACAAGAGCTGCCAAGTACCACATCTGGCACTGGACAGATGCTTAATAAATGTGCATTTGGATTGAATCTTTCCAGAATTGCTAGTTGGGATCCTTTTCAGGTACACAAGACCAAGGCAGGGACTAGAGATGCCCAAGGACAGCAGGTAATTTCATTCCAGGAAGTGGAGGTATCACCTGGATCCACCTGGCCATGTTCAGAGGGACCACAGAGCAGCTGCTGCTTTAGTATTTTTCTTTGGAAAATGGTCCAATAATCTATCCCTTCACACATGGCGTGGCCATTAAATGCCCCAGTGATGTTGAGGAGACATTTAAGGAAAGGAAAATAGAAAAATGAGTGAGGACAGGGAGGTGCTGAGAAGGTCCAGGAGAGACGAGGGGGCAAGTGGGAGCCCTGGTTCTTGAGACTGGCCACCTCTGACTTGAGACACCTATCCATAGCCCCCGGGGCACCCCCCATTCTGTGAAATGAACTGGACTAAGTGACCCCTAAGAGTCCTTCCGGCTCTGGGATGCTGTGGTCCTGGATTCCACAAGGACGGTGGTGACACACGAGGGCAAATTCTGACAGGCGCTGAGTTCTGGGAGAGGCCCCAGGACCCGGCTGGCAAGCAGGCATTGGCTCTGTCCTCCCCTGCCCTGCAGTCTCCTCCTGGGTCAGCTGCCTGGGTTGGAATTCCTTCCTCCTAACTTGGATCCTTTCCTCCACTTACCTTGAAGTTCCTGGGGGGGCAGGTTGAAGGGAGGAGGTGTAAGCCCAAGGGAAGGGAGGTGGCTGAGGGGAGGAATGTTCTATCTTCCCATTGTGGACAGCGTCTTGGAGCTGACTCTGCTGATGCCAAGAATGAGCCTGAGTTAGGGCAGGGACAGGGGTCTCCTGCCCCAGCTCCCTTCAGCTCTCCAGACAGGTGGGCTGGAATGTTCCCTGGGAGACACCCCGGAATGGTGACTGGCTGTGCTATTTGGCTGGGAATCAGCCAGTCAGCAGGTTCCAGACCACCTATGAAAAATTTATCTTGCTGGGAAACCATCTAAAGAAATCTGGGGAAATCACTGCTTCTCCTTTTCACGGGGCTCATTCTGTACTTCCCAAAATGCTTTCAGATCTGCATTTATCCTTCCCCCTCCCCCAAATCCTAGGGAGTAAAAGTTGTTATTTTCTCCTGAGAGCTGAGGACAGGAATCTCAGCAGAATAAGTAGTGAAAGAACAGGACTAACTATTTCTCTGCCTCCTTCTGCCATGTCTGTGACTGGGGCCTTGGGAAGGTCCCCTAGCATCTTGGAACCGCAGTGGTCTCCCTTTTCAAGTGGAGCTCAGCCTCTCCCACTTTGAGGATCAAGCAATAATGGCCTTTTAAACTAGCTGACAAGCTACAGAGTGATACGAAGTGTCTGTTGCTGCAATTATTAGGAGGCCAGGTCTACTCTTCACACCATTCCATGCTGCCTGGGAGGAGACTGCAGACCCCATCAGCAGGCAATCTGGAGCATAACACCTGTAGGCCAATCACGGGCTAGTTCACTGGTGTGTCCAGTCACCATCCAGGGGAAGATCTTCTGGAGAATTTAAATGGAAGATGAAATGACATTAGTGGTGGATTTTCAGGGTGTGGGCGTGAGAAAGAGATAAGAGACTTCCTCAGGGAGGGCCTTAGAAGGAGACCTTTGAGAGCCCTGAATAAGACTGAGATGGAAGGAGGAAGGATAAAGCACAAACAAAAACATGAGGTAGAAAGTGAGCTGGGGATCGGGCAAGGGAGGGGTCTGGCTGCTTGTTGGTGGCAGTGAGGGGCAGCAGCCCAGGTTTCATCACTCTGCACAGCCTTGTGTGGTTGCCTGGGCCTGGCAGATGTCCTGGGCTTCTCTCAGATACAACCAACCCAGGAGAAGTGTTACCCTGAGCCAGTCAGTGGGCCAGAGCAAGGCTACCACTTGAGCAAGTGCCTATTGGTCTTTTACCACCTGGCTGCTGCACGTGAGGGGGAGGTGAGACTCTCACTGTGCTGTGGTGAGGAGGTAGATGAGTCTCATGGGGCCCAGTCCTCCTGGGTCCTGCAGATAGGTATTAGTAAGCACTCATTCTTTGGAATTTTCTGATCCCAGAAATTATGTCGGAACTTCCTTCTAATTACACATCCCCCAAGTAGCTGCTTCTACCTTTCATAACTGTAGATTGTGCAGCTATTTATTTAATGAATGTCTCCCAACTCCATGAGAGCAGTGATCATGGCTCTTTTATCTCCCCTGACGCCCACTCCAGTTGTGTTATATGCTCAGCTCCTTAGGGCTTGGACACTGAGGAGGGAAGTGTTTTCTTTCTGGATCCCTTTTCACACTGGTGTGGGGAAAGGAAATAAAACTGGCTAAGACCCACCAACCGTGCCCCTATCCTCTGAACACACACCAGGGCGTGCTTTGACGCCAGCTTCTCCTTTCAGGATGCCTCATCCCTCCACAAGCTGCAATTAAGATAGAACAGTGCACTCCATCTAGACTCATGTCTGCAACTTGCACTGTGTCAGTCTCTTTTTATTCTAACAAGGAACAGTGGATTTGAACACATTATCTTAAACCCCCTCCCCCAATGCATATCTCTTGATTTACCCAAAGAATATATTCCACATGTGTGGAAAAAAGTTTGCTCATGTGTAAGTCATGCTTGCACACCCACTAAAGCACGAAAGCCACATCCTTTTATCACCTTCCCACCTTAGAATGTCACCTTAGAATGTCTCCCCCAAAACCTCATATGCATGCAATTATTCAGAAGGACCCCAAATTGAGAGGTTGCACCTACTTTATTTTATGGGAAAATGTTCACCTCTTCCATCTCTGGGGTTGATAAAAGAATGACTACATTAATCCATCAAAATCTCAAATTAGATTGATTTTGTCTGTAATGTTTACCAGGACTATTTTGAAACCCCTTGAGATCAAAAAGAGAACAACCTAAACCATCCTGCCTCAGTATTAGAGAAGCAGAGAGAATAACTCTGACGAATCTGAATATGTAACAGGTTGATTTGGTAAATGCTTGAAGGGTCCAAAGTATATGCCCTGACTGATAAATTCTAGTGGGGAGCACTGGGAAAAGGTCCAATGTGTTCAAAAGAGGAACCAGCCTCTAAGGGGCAATCACTTCGGGAGAGAAACCAGTGCTTCTGGAGATAAATCTAACAAAAGAATTAATCATGATTCCAAGCCTGTAGTCCAAGGGAGTAGGTAAACATTTGGTGACATTCAGTTGCCCCCCTGGGGCCCTTGCAGAGCCACTTGTGCTTGAGGGAAGGTCACCAAACAACAAGAAGGGGCAATTGATTTATTCGAGCATCAAGGATTTTGGAGCTGACATCTGAGCCCTTGAACAAGCTGGGAGAAGGAAGTGAGAGAGCGGTCTGGAGCTGTTGCAAATAGGCCTCCACACTGAGCCAGGTGGAAAGGTTTCAGGATCTAGAGCTGCAGTGATGTTGGGTTAAATCCTCAAATCATCACCTACTAACTCTGTGCTCTTGAACAAGTTAATTGGAGCTTTCTGAATTACAGTTTTCTCATCAAATCAAGAGTAACAACCTTTTGCTATGAGGTGCCAGATATTAAATATGTTCAGTTTTGCAGGCAATATGACCTTGATAACAGGGACTCAGTTCAGCCTTTGTAGAGAAAAATCAGTCATGTACACTATGTAAAGGAAAAAGCATAGCTGTGTTCCAATAAAACTTGATTTACAAAAACAGGCAGCAGGACAGATTTGGTCCATAGACCATAGATTGTTGATCCTGTATAAAAAGATAAAACTTCCTTGTTTCAAGATTGCTTTAAATAGTCACCATACTATTTACAATAATCTTTGATGTAAAATAAACCCTTAATATAGAGCAACTATACTTATTGGAAAACCTTTGCCAGGGTAACTGAGTTTCAAGAGGGATTAAGGAAATAATGAGGGCCTCCCTGGTGGTGCAAGGGGTTAAGACACAACATACGAAGACATCCACAGCTTCTGCAGTACGAGTTCTATCTCTGGCCAGAGAGCAACCCAATGGCACAGCAGACCTCTCCTGACTTGCCCACTCCCTCCCTCAGCAGTGTATTTCAGTCAGTCTGCCTGTTTCGTTCCCCACTCTGTCTCTCGTGAATCCTCTCGCCCCCCACACCTCTAGCCTATACCCCAGTCCTTGTATGCATAAATAAATAAATCTTTTTTAAAAAATTAAATAAGTAAACAAATAAAATGCAAAAAGCTTTTTTAAAAAAAAAAAAAAAAGAAAAACCAAGTCAGGAAATGAGAGAGAGTCTAGATTACTAGGTCAATCCACAAGGTCAATTACCCACAGTATCTGGGGCCCACAGTGGCTTTAAATTCTTTTAAAATCAGAAGAAAATAAATGAAATAATAATGATGAATATATAATCATGAATCTCTTTGGTATTATATTCATTTTCATACCAAAATATTCATAAAATATAATTTTTTATGGAGGAAGGACAACCTGATGCAGAAGCACATAAAGTCTATAGCCCTGCAGACAAGTTGTCAAAATGCAACTGTCAGGAACCTCCAACTTGATCCTTCCCTAGATTTTTTTTTAATACATATTTTTTTATTCATACAAGCACTGGGTACAGTCAGAAGCATGGGAGGGTGAGATAATTCACCAGAGCCAGAGCAGGGAACACAACAGGCAGAGTGACAAATTACACTGCTGAGGGGAGCAGCAGGCACGGCAGGAGAGGTCTGCGCACCATGTGAGATCCTAGCTGGCAGCTGGGGACTGAACCGGCGCTACAGAGGCTGCAATCAGCTTCGCAGCCCAGCGCTCAACTTCCCTAGATTTTTAAAGACAAATCTGGTTTTCATGATGGAATTAATTTCCATGAAAAATTAATAAAAATTTTCTTCAGAAATTTCAGTTTGACACATTATGTTAAGAAGTAGAGGGAAAATAACTTTGGGTTCTGTAAATTCATGGTGAAACTTTTAAGGAGAAGACATGGCTTCTGGTTTTAGTTTTGCTACTATTTCTGATGCTTAACAAGCTCTTTCAGTCTCTGTTATTTAGTTGTCTCATCTGAAAAATAGGCCTGGCAAGGGCTCACCATGTGCTTACTGATATGGACTGGGCCTCTTATTGGCAACAGTCTGAAAAAATCTTTTAATCTCAGTATGGTTTAAAATATTTTAAAAATCCTTCTTGTAAGCATTAAGAGTTAAAAAGGATCACAGTAGACGATTTTAAGTTGTTGGTCTTTACCTAAAGGCCTCAAGCACTCACTGCTATTCCAGTCTTCTGACTCATCCCCACACCTGGTCACTGGAAATACTCAGTTAACCACTTCTGAAAATTTTTCAGCTCCATTCTTTTCTTTTCTTTTTTTTTTTAATTTAAATTTTATTTTTATATTCCCCATACAATTACAACCCCCTTATTTTTACCCCAAGCCCTCCTTTCCCTGCCCCCCATCCCCCATAGAGAGTCTCTTGTTCATAGTTATTTGTTGATTTTGATATTTTCTTTCTTATAGTTATTCTTTTTCCTGGTCCTTTATTTAAGTTTTCTAGATTCCTGCTATGAGTGAGACCATCCAGTATTTTTCTTTTTCTTTCTGGCTTATTTTCGCTGAGCATGATCCCTTCCAGCCCCATTCTTAACTGGTTTTCACACAAAGTCCTATTACCAGTGATGGTTGATTGTAGGTTGTTTTATGAGGTGAGTTAAGATTGTGATGAAACAAAAATTTCCTGGGGGAGTAAAGTTCTACTGTGATTCTTGATAATTTGGGCTAAGCACCAGGGGTTAGCCAGGGCATGTGATAATTTCCAGTTACTCACACTTTTTCTTTCCATTCAAGGATATTGGAATTCACGTGAATGACATTGGTAATGACCTTGAATCCACTCTAATCTATTATAAAATTGAAAGATAAATCATCTTCAAACTGCTAAGCTATAGCTATCATTAGGAACTCGTAGTGTTACAGGGCAAACCTCACCCTTGCGCTTAAAGTGGACTTATTAATGCTAAACTCAGACACACACACAAGGTTGATAAAAGGTTTATTTACAAGGAAAGGGAAAATGGAAATAAATAACTCAGGGAGAAAAAGAGGGAGATAAGTTCATAAATGCATCCTACCCTTTCCGCTGACCTGGAATCCCAATGACCCGCCAAGCTGGCAAAAACCTAGCACACCTCATGGCCAAGCAAGTGACCCCTGGCCAAATGACCAGTTAAATACCCAAACCAAGAGCCTAGTTGCTTAACTCCACCCTCAGGTCCTCACAACCTTCTCTTCGGTGATCATGGGATTTGTAGTTCCCAGTGTCGTGGGGGAGGAGTCCACAAAGCCTGTATGGAGTTTGCTCAGGGCATCCTTCACCCCTATCACTAGCTCACCTCCCAATCACTGACCACTGCCTTCGGGTCAAATAGGATGCTACCTTCACCTGCATTAAATCAGAGACTCCTAAGTAGGAATCCCCACTTGTCAAGGATGGAGGTGGGCCTTATGGTCTCCCTCAGGACTTGATCCTCTCAGTCAGAGGTCTCTGGGAAAGGGGTGGGCTCCCCTATAGTCATCAACTTCAGACAGAGTCCTGACCTCAATAATTTTGTGTGTGTAAGTCTCCAAAGGCTCTACCAGGAACTGGTTGGATTTGACTGAGAGGGTTTCTTAGGAGCTTCCAGGAGCCAAGGGGGGTAAATAATTGGTCACAAAAGCAGGGAGTTGGATTTATTTTCTGTTTCTGTGTCTGCAGAGCCGGCAGCCTCTGAAGCCCCGACGGAGCTGATTGGTGCCTTTGGTGGAAATGTGACTTTCCCTCTGAACGACTTACCAAGGCAGATTGACACCATTGTCTGGTTCTTCAACTCAAACACTCTCCTCACCATACAGCCAAAAGACACTCAAAAGCCAAAAGACACTTTTATAGTGACCGAAAGTCGTAACACAGGAAGGGTGGACTTCTCAAGTATAAACTACTCCCTGATCCTCAAAAAACTGATGAAGAACGACTCAGGTCCCTATAACGTGAAGATACACAGCTCATCCCTCCAGAACCCCCTCATCCGGCACTACAGGCTGCGTGTCTATGGTGAGAATCAGCTTCACATGGATGATTGTCTTGGGAGAGTGGTGTTAGAGACGTTTAAGGAAAGGCTGGGGAAGCCCTTGACAATAATGTGGAAGAGGGGACTCCTGCAGGGATGAAGAGCAGATGTCGCTGACCCTGAGGTGGTGCCTTCACCTCAGAGATTCTGGAAGAGGCAGCATGATGCAAAGGGAGGGCAGTGGGAGATGCGGTCACACAGGCCTAATGCTGGTCTCTCCACTTATTCATTTCAGCCTTCAGCAAGTTTCTTGGTCTCTTTGAAATTTAGTTTCCATATCTAAGATAGGGGGAAAGTGATTCTATCTTAGAAAGATTCTTGGGTGTAGACATCAATCATACATCTTCCCCTGAAGAGTGTAACCAACTGAGGCATAGACTTAAGAATCAGAAGGAAAATTAAAATATCAGCTTTATTTTTTTCTAGCAAACTTAGGTATGAGAAATACATTCCCCCAAGTCTACACCATGGGTCTCATTAGGGGAATTTGAGTTTACAAAATAATTACTCAACCACCTGTAAGAAAAACTGCCTCACTCACAAGACTGCAATATCAGGAGAGCAGGAAGGGGCCTCCAGGTTTACTACAGAGGCAAGTCCTGCCCCTTGATCCAGGTGTGTCCTCCACATGGTCAGAGCTGACAGGAACAGGGGACACATTCTGCGGGTGAGCTAACTAGGGGAGAAGGAGGGGGTTACCACATTTAATCAGCAATCTTAACAGTCTAAACCCACAGTAGAGAAATGTAGGTGATGGCTGTTAGTTTCCTTCAGTGGTTGCATTGCTGAGAAATGAAGCACTTACCAACAATTTCCCATCCTGTGAAGCACAAGGCAGAGGAAGGGACCAGAGTTTCCTCTGATACTATCATCTCCTGAGAGTAAAGTGAAAGTCTCTTCAAGGAAACCCGAGGACAGGCAAACAGGGAGCCTTTAAAAAAGATGAAATTAGCCAGCATCTAACATTCATGTAGCACAGTGCTTGCCTTATGAGTATGCTTGGGAACAGCAGCTGTGTCTTGTTATTATTTCTGTCATTATTGTTCTTCTTGTTGTAAAGCTATGAACAAGCTGACCTAGAGAGCACTTTTCCAGATAAGAATGGAATTCTGTTCTGGATTGCTGCTTTCTCTTTATTGTACCCCAGGGAGACTGGTGTCTGAGGGTTATAGCAATAATTCAGAGAAGGGAGGCTGTGGACATAGTTTCCACCCTCAGTGTCCATTTCTCCCTTGCAGGGCACGTGTCACAGCCGAAGGTCACCCCAGAACACCAGAGCAGCGAGAATGGCTCCTGTGTCACCAACCTGACATGTTCTGTAGACCAGGAAGATGAGGGTGTGACTTACAGCTGGATATCCCTGGAAGAGGCAAACAATGAGGTCCATAATGGCCCTGTCATCTCCATATCCTGGAGGCGAGAAGAATGGAACAGGACATATAAGTGTGTGGCCAGGAACCCCGTGAGCAACAGTTCTTCAAACCCCATTGCTGCCTGGAAGCTCTGTACAGGTAATGGTCCCCTCCTCCAGGAAACTTTATATACACTCATCAGCCCCTGATACCGGTGGGGACAGATCTGTATAACAGGTGTAACAGACTTGTGTAACCTGTGTAACAGACCTGTGGGGTGGGGTGGAGGTGGCTCCCGGGAAGTCACCAGACTGGGAGGAGGTGGCAGTGGCTCTAAAAGTGGGGCCATTTTTCCTAGTTGACTCCTTCTCCTCCCCTGTCCCTCAAGCCCATTCTCTCTTTAAAGGTGCTATTGGTAAACCACTGTCCTTCGAGGTCCTGGGTGTGATCTTAACTGTTGCCTTGCTACTACTGGTGCTTGTTATTTTCGTCATACATCAAAAAAGAAAAAAAGGTAAAGCATGTTCTATTTTTGTCTTTAACCTCTCCCTCATTTATTCAACAAACACATTGGGTGGTATGCCAGGCACAGCACCAGGCACTAAGGATACAAAAATAAGAGGCTGCAGGCTCTGTCTTCAAGGAGAGACCGCCTGCCTGCATGCCTTGTTTTCTTTCACTAACGCCCCTAACTTCTTTCCCAAAGCTAAGGTCTCCCTGCCCCTCTTCTTCCCCCAGAAGACTTACTGGTGTGCCCCTCCTGTAGACACAGTCCCCACACTGCTGGCTATTCTCCCCTGATTTGGAGACAGTGGCCTCCAGCTCTCACCAGTTCCCTTTGTCAGTCCATTTATCCCCTTCCCATTAGAGCCCCAGCCCCACCACAGCCCCCTCCATTGAATCAGCTTCAGAAACTTCAGTCTGGACACAGTCACCCTAGAAGCCTTTCTCTAAGCTTCTCCCTGCTGTGCCTCTTGTTCTGTGTCCCTAAACCCTGCAGATTTCCCCTCTGACACTGAGGATATGCAGTCCCATATACCCCACTGACACTGTCCATGTGCGGGTAGATGATGGGCCTGCACACCTTTTGGGTTGAACTTTACATTTTTGAGATCTGCCCTACCTCCTTGGAAACACTCTGGCCCATTTCAGATCTCTTCTTCCCTTTTGGTGGTTTGGTTGAGAGAAGGAAAAAAGAAGTCATGAGGGAGATTAGTTTGTTCTGGAATTTTCCTGGTTTAGCACTGAAAGTCCCATTTCCCAGAAAACCTTTCAGTTACAAGCAAACAAGGATGGTCAGTCTCCCTAAGTGGAACATCCAGAGGGAGTGCCAGGCCGGTGGGGAAGGTGAATGAACAGAGGGGCCAGCTCTGACTCTCTCTCAACCTAATTCCAGAGTCTACTGGAGAGGAGAAAGGGACTGGTGTTCATCACGGAGTTCCTAGCCATGGCCACACTCCTGGAGAGGTCCCAGAATATGACACGGTCACTTTCCCCCCTGTGAGTCTTTTCCCATCTTTCCTGGGCCCGATCCTCCTGGTTGAGACCCTCCTTGCTCTATTTGAGATTGTTTCATGGATTTAGGCAACATGGAAGAGGAGGATGTATAACCCTTAAAACCCAGCGCACATAGGCCTCCCCCACACCCCAAGTCTCTATGGCTGCCCATTTGTGCAGGAGTCAGTGGCCTCTGGAGCACCTCACTCTGACCCAGCCAGTAATTACACACTGATCTGTGACCCAATCCTCCAGGAGCCCACCATTCACAGCAGCCACCCTCCAGGCCCAATGCCTTTTGGTCAGGGAAATGTGACTTTGACATGGAGTTTGAGTTGAGGTGTCAGAGGCTGTCTCTAGAAATGCTTTTTCCACTAAGACAACACAAGGAGCCATCAGGAGAAGGAGAACTCAGGCCCACAGTGACTCCAGGCCACACTCAAGACACCCTACGTGCTGGCCACTAAGCTGAAGTGAATGAACACAAGGATAATTCCAGGGAAATACTTTGATGAGAATAACATTAGAGTAAAATTTTAAAAATAAAATAAAAACAAGTCACAAGAGGCAATTTGGAAAGATGAACCAGGTAGATAATGTCAAAGGGCTCTGTGGGAACGATCATAGGGCCCAAGTTGGACCAGCTCCTGAGAGGTCATGGAGCCCTTTTCAACACTGGCTCATTTGAGGAAAAAATGAAAACACTTTGGAGCCTCAAAATTCCAGTTTTATCCCACCTTTGGTGTGTCTGGTCAGGTGTAGTGTCCCATCTTACCACAGTCTTTCAGGAGGAGACACTGGCTTCATTCCTGAGAGGGTGTCCTAAATGCCCTCCCTTCCTCACAGGGGCACCTGCTCGTGCTCCATGTATCTGGGCTGACCTCTTACCATCATGCTCCTGCTTAAGACCCTCTGGGGAGACCCTAGGGCCATCCTGTTCAGGAATGATCATTTCTAACCTGGAAGGCGCTATTGCTGTTGCTTTGGCTTGTTTTACTCCATTATTCATCCTGACTGATTTGATGCAATGGCTCTTTTGACTGATGGAAAAATTTGTTTACAACATTAGCATTACTTCAAATTATCCTTTAATGACCTTAAGAGGCTCATAGCTCATGGGACTTATATATCTTATTTATTTTTTTAATTCATTTAAACAAAAAGTTCTATACAATGCAATTTCTTCTTCAAAGAAAAGTTTTTAATTATTATATCAGCTACTGACAAGAGCACCTCCACTGTCTGTTACTCTTCTAGAACCTTCCCCACCTCTTAGCACCCCCTCCCCCGCTCTGCTTTCACTTCTCTAAGTTCTGGGCATCTGTTTGACTGTCTATGTGACCCAGGGGAGGCTGATGATTTCTTTTCATTGTTTTTTAATAGAATACTGTTCCAGAGAAAAATTCACCAAATACACTTTATTTCACTGTGCAAATACCCAAAAAGGTAAGAGGCTTTAGACCTGAGCTTCATCTTAGTTGTCATATTCCTTTTCTGGCCACTAAGCTTAAATTTTCTTGGGCTTCTGGGGTTCACATATTCCCTGATATTAGAATGTGCCCCAGCATGCTCTCATTTTGCCTGGGGTTATACAGGAATATGTGGACTAGAAGAGAGTCATGTTTTAAAAGTGGGGTGGAGACTCCATCTAGAGCAGGAGAGGGGTTGTAGGCAGGAAGGAAGAGAAAAGCAGCAATACCCTGCCTGGGGTCATAGGCAACAAGCCAGCTGAGGTGGAGCTTGGGAGTGGAGGGGTGAATGCGGAGGTGAATTTAGATTGAATCTGAGCTGGAGGTGGGAGAGAGATTCCATGGTCTGGCATGTTACATGGTTCACAGGACCCTGGGTCAGACGAATGTAATGTTTTAAAACTTGTTCTCCAAAGGTCATGCTTGGTAAAAGCAGGGATCACTTCCTATCTCCCCCACCAACCAGATCTGAAAAGATGATGATTGGTAAATATTTGTGCAGTAATAGGAAAGGTTGCTTCTGGTGGGTTATTGGAAGAAAAGTTCAGTTCATTTTGCATCCAGTAAGATAGATGTGGGTTCACCTTGAAGAATGGTTTCTCTAAAGTGGGAATGACTAGTGAGAGCAGTATGGAGGTTCAGGTGGGGTCATCTTGGTGATGAGAATCTGGGCGGACATGTATCCGGTGGCACCCATGACCTTCTCCAGTGCTCTGCATCTTTGTATCTGTCAACAGGTGGACAAACCCCACACCCTGCCCGAGACAGCCCACACACCACGGTCATTTGCCTTTGAGAAAGTCATTTAAACATCCACGTGCTCCCTCACACCTCACCCCACGGAAAATGATACAAATAATTCACTCGACTAGAAATATCAAGGAAAAGTCAGGAACACTGCTCTCCTTCCATAATTAACCATGGTCCCTGATGAAACCTCAGATTTAAGAGCTTCTAATTCTAAGCACATGTGAGAAATCTCAACCATGTGACTGTGAATGTGTCATTATCCCTTCCTGGCAATGTGACTGTGGATGTATCTGTTAACCCTGCTTGGGGAGCTTGGGCGCATCCTGTTGCTATGTGAATGTGGCATCACCTATGTGAAGGATGAAGGATGGCTCCTGCCCCAACACTGGAGGTGTGCAATGTACCCGTGGTCAGATTGCAACAGGACAAGAACAAGGACCATGCCCCAGCTTCCTTCTTGTGCTGAGAGGGGTCCAGGCCCACGCTGGACATTCAGGGAAGAAACTGAATCTACAGACAAATTTTAAGTCTGTCATAGGAGACTTGTAGCTTGTCACTTGCAAACCTTTAAAGTCCTTTTATTTATTTAACAAATATTTTATGAGAAGCTCTGCCAAACCTTGGCAAATAAGACATGATCCCCACCCCCTGTGAGGAAGCATGGATAAGGGGTATGCAGGGGAGAGGGCTGCCTTTGATGTGTTTCAAAAGAGCTGCCTCCACTGAAGGAGGTCTGTGAAGAAGGAAGCTGCTGCCCTGCAGAGGAAGAGAGGTGGTGAAAAGAAGCACCTGCATAGCCACAGGTGGGAAGAAAGACTGCTGCCTTATTGTGGGAGCAGTGTTAGGTTTTGTCATCTCCTTCCAGTAGGGGAGGAGCTCGTTTTTGTGGGTGGATGGTCTGTGCTCCTTACACTCCCTATAGCAGTCTGATAGTTTCTGAGTTTTGCACATACTGATCTGGGCATTGATGTCTAAGGGTCTTGGGTTCAATAACCAGATTAGTGGCTTACGCTGAGCCCCTCTACTCCTACCTCCGTGTGAGTTAGATTCTTGATCTAGTATCTCCTTTCCAGTTTTTCTATTCTTATCCTCCATCAAAAGGATAGAGCAGGAAACAGCCCCTGGGAGGCTGAGCTGCTCCATGAAAACCTATGTGGGGGCCTACCTGGTGGCCCAGAGGGTTGAGCGCAGCACTGTGAAGCTGTCCGCAGGAGGCACCAATCACACTGTAGATACTATAAATATATTTATTACTATCATTTCCTAAAAGAAAAAATAATAAAAACTCATTTTATAAAATCAGTATGTCTTGAGAAAGATGTGTTCTTTACTTTTTCTTTTTTTTAAAGAATTATTTATTTATTTATACAAGCCGTGGGTACAGTCAGAAGCGGGGGAGGGTGAGAGAATTCACCAGAGTCGGAGCGGAGAGCAGAGCAGCCAGACTGACAAAGTACACTGCTGAGGGGAGCAGTGCACAGGGATCGAACTGGCACTGCAGAGGCTGCAGGCGCTTCGCAACCCAGCACTCAACCACTGAGCCACCAGAGAGGCCCAAGAGGTGTTCTTTTCTAACTCTCAGGGTGATGTGGGTTGGGACAGAACTTGGAAGGGAGAATGATTTACCACACTATGAAGCAATCCACAACCTCTGCAGCACAAGTTCAATCCCTGGCCAGCCAGAGAGCAACCCACATGGCAAAGCAGACCTCTCCTGTCTCCCTGCTGCTCTCCTAAGCAGTGTATTTCAGTGGATCTGCCTGTTCTGCTCTCCACTATGTCCCTGGTGAATCCTCTCATCCCCACATCTCTGGCCTGTACCCAGCTCTTGTATGCATAAATAAATAAATCTTTAAAAAAAATTGGTTCCGGACCTCCCCAGTGGTGCAGCGGTTGAGCGCTGGGTTGCGAAGCTGCCCGGAGCCTCTGCAGCACCGGTTCGATCCCTGGCTGCTCCCCGGCCACTGGAGGAGGGTCCCGCATGGTGCGCAGACCTCTCCTGCCGCCCGCTGCTCCCCTCAGCAGTGTGCTTCAGTCCTTCTGCCTGCTCTGCTCCCCGCTCTGGCTCTGGTGAATTCTCTCACCCTGCCATGCTTCTGACTGTACCCAGTGCTTGTATAAATCAATCAATTAATCAGTCAATCTTGTATAAATAAATAAATAAATAAATCTTAAAAAAAAAAAATTGGTTCCTAGACAAGACTGGGATTGAGAATAATCTCTTCTCAAAAAGTCACTGTGAAATTATATATTAAGCATGAGTTCTTTTTCTATTTGTGAGAGTGAGATTCTGGAACACCTGAAGACAGGGAAGTTAAGGAAAACACACATTAGGAAATATGAATCATATTTATATGATGTTATAGTGTTGAAGGGGGAGCAAAAGATGCCACCCTAAAGTATGACTCTGACTTGAAGATTATTTAGAGCTGATTGTTTTTCACTCAGAAACAGCAGATACAGGAGACACTCTGAAAATTGAGTCAAACATCATTTTGTAAGAGACATTTACATTTTATTAGGCAATTCTTCTTTTCTGGGGTGTCTCCTCTCTGTACCATATCTCTGGAGGCTCTTGTCAATGGAGAAGGCACTAAACTCTGCCTTATCCTTGTACCAGCGTGATATCCATAGAAAGGGGAGGTTCCAAGTTCCCTGCCCCACCCAAGGAAGGGTGGAGCTGAGCAGCAAGGAGAAACTAGAAAAATGTGGGCAGGAAGAAGAAAAAGAAGGAAGATTTAGAGAAGACAGGAGAAAGTATACAGAGCAGAGACAGGTGAAGAAGTCATGCTTGCTTCTCAGCACCAGGGACTCGGGGGACATGGAAGGAGACACTTGAAAGAACAGAGATGTGGATGAGGGACCATGAGACGGCTGACAATGGCAGCCTTTATCTTGATTTTCGGCTGACAATGGCAGCCTTTATCTTGATTTTGGTTTTGTTCTTTTCCTTCCAGGCTTGCCTGGTTCCTTCTCTACCTCTCCTGTGGGTCCCGATCAGACTGTGGCACGTTTTCGGGCCTCAGTGGCCCATCTTTGGACCAACCCTGTTTGACTGGGCATTTACCCATGAGGTGATGGGAAACTTTGGGTGTTTAATTGTGAGACACAGGGCAAGCTAGAAATTAGGCAGTTTAGGGACACTGCAGGAGAGGACCTCTGAAGAATTTAGGGAGGCTTCAGAGATAAGGACAACCAAGGGAATGTAACCAATTCCCCTAGGAAAAACAAACATCTTAGGACCAAGGACAACATTGTTAACGCTGGTCCTGGTTTCCTTCAGGTGGTAAAGGGAGGCAGAGATTGGAGAAATGGAGAGTGGTTTAATTTATGGACAACTTAGAAGGACAGCTGTTTAACTTCAATGCAGGGATGTCCATCCAGAGGACTGGGCCATAAAGATAAAGATGTAACAAATGGGGAAAGAGAAAGCTGTTAGATAAGGAATGTGAAGATCCCCTACTCAGTAGCAAATTAAGTGAGACAGCCGAGAACTCACCAATCACAAAGAGACTGGCGGAGCTTTAGAATAATGAGGGAAAGAAGGTCTATATTCCCTGAGACACGACTCCACTTTGGCTTCCTTGCCCCTCCCAGGCCTGGTTTCCTGACCTGGGAGTCCCACTTTATTTCTGCTCTTTTTCTCCTCAATAAATTTTTTCTTTCTATAAACAAACCTGCTTCTTCTCGCTTTCTCGCCTGAGAGTCTGCGAAGTTCCTGCTTCGTGAGGAACTTCGTGAGACACCAACCCGTGGGGTTCTAGTGACTGGGACTCAGCGCTGCCCCTGCAGCCTGGGTTCCATTCCTGGCTGGGAGACTAGGCCTAACAATTCCGGTATCATTTTGGGGGCTCGTCCGGGATCTCACAAGATTTTAGGTAAGTCAGCCGAGAGGCACAAATTGTTTCTATCTTCAGCTTGTCCTAAACTTCTCTTGTTAAACATTTTCTTTCTCTCAGAGCCATCAAAGAGGCCATAAAAAGGGCACAGGACAGACAGTAAATGCCAAAGGGCGACTGCCTTAAAGACTCCTGTGAAAGGATAAACTGGTGATCAGACCAGGTAAGGGGACTAGCCCATCTGCCAGTCAAAGAATAAAAGTCTGGTTGTTGTCATATGAGGGACTCCGGTCTCCGAAGAGCTAGGCACATACGTCATGTAGAGGCCGTCCGGGGGCTGCACATAAGGGGCTGATCTCCCAGCAGCTCGGGCCATCCTCCCTTGCCTTCAGCAGAGGGGGAGCTGCCGAGACCCAGTAGAGGATGAATGGTCCCAATGTGACAGTTGGGAAAGTCATTCCTCACTAAGCACCACACAGGATCCGACACAGAACCCCATCCTGGTCTCAGATCCCTGTTAGGATTATTTGGATGGCTCCATGTCTTTCCTTGCTCGCTCTCTCTCTCTCTCTCTTTCTCTCTCTCTCTCCCCTCCCTATTCTTCCTTCTCTTGCAATGCAACTGATTTACTTCTCTGTTACCTGTGGGCTTCAGACAGGCAGTAGACATTTCAAAAACTTTTTCTCTGTCCTTTATTTGATTGCAAAAAATTAATGGGAACCCGTCAGCCCAGTAAATGCGACTAGCGTGAGGACGCCATTCTTAAAGTCTCGGGTGACAGGTTTCTCAGCTGGCAAGGCTTCCTGATCCCCCACTCACTGAGTGGGAATATCGGGACTCTCTTGTCACTGATTCCTACTTTTCTCTATCATCCATGGATTCCAAGGGTACTCAGAACGACCAAGCTGTGACCCTTGGAACCCTGGACACCCAGGAGATCCGATGGCTCAGACAAGGCATTCTGCTAGGTCGGCACCTAGGCGAGAGTCACGGAGGCCTAACAGTCTAAAAAAAAAAAAAAACTTCCACCTTCTTAATCCCTCCCCTATAGGATGGACTTCTTTCAGCTTCTATCAAGGCAACTTACAAACATAAGGTATAAAATGGTCTTATAAAAATCTTGGGGTGCCCCTGGGAGCCTTTTCCCTGGTGTCTGTTTTAATCCTGCTGGTTGGCACAGGCAGGAGAGGCTGAGTTTCATATTATGACAGAAATGTATGTACAGGTTTGCCTCGAATCCTAGGTCCAGCTATTTAATTTTACCTTTGGTATTATAAATTTGTCTCATGGCAGTTTTTCAAAAGGGAGTTTAAAATAAGTAAATATCAGGTTCTGGGCAACTGCCGCTTCAAGGGCTATGACTTAAAAAAAAAAAAAAAGAAATCAGTTTTGCTGTCTGACAAATGGGCATCATTAGAAATTAGGTTGCAGGACTTGGTCTGCGGCTTGTGTTAAGTCTCTACTGTTCAGGTGTTTTCAGGGTCTCTTTCATCAGATGAGGAGAATGGCTTAAGCTTGCTAGAAGCTTGGAATAGGTGCCCTTTGCACAGGGACTGGATAGGGGATGCCGGTAGGATCCCACAAAATCCGGTACCCCTTACTTGTCTGTTTAGTGGGAGACAGATAAGCTAGCATCGGTCATGCTGGTAAGGGAGTGATTAAGTCCAGTAGACCTTATGCGAGGAGACTGTTAATCACTCACAGTTAGAGCTCCAAGTTTTGACAGAGGGACGCCTCTGGTAGAAAGAAGCTGGTGCTGCCTTTACACCTGCTTTCTTGTTGTGGATGGGAGCTTCCTCGTCAGCCTTGCAAAGGGGCACGCGTCTCTCCTGCATCCTAGAGTTGAGACCAATTTTCAGGAGTAATTGTCTCCTATCTCACCTGTTTCTTCTCTTAGTAAGTCACTGAGACCCAAGTCTCAACATTTCTCCTGCATCCTAGAGTTAAGAGCCAGTCAAGAGACCATGATATATGGTCCTGGTTGGATGGGACGACCTCTGACTTTACTGCAGGAATGCCCCTGCTTTGTCTGTCCGGCTAATGCGGGTACTTTTCTTTTATTGCTACAGAGACCATAAAATGCTCTATCTCAATTCCATGGGACATGCCCTAAGCCACATTCTTAAAAACTAGCCCAATTTGGCCATAAATGGCATCTTCTCCAGCTAACCCTCCTTGGTCACAGTCAAGACAAAAAGACAAAATGCTGGGGACTAATAATTAAAGGGGTCCACTACAGCTGACTAGTAAAAAAGACTGCCTTTGCTCTCAATAAGAAGCTGCCTGGATTATTTTTTCCAGTGTTGAGATCATTGGTATGTCTCTGCTGCCTTCCAGTTGTGGGGGGACTGGACTCTCCCTTTGTCCACCTGGAAAAACT